CCCCACCCCCCCCCCCCCCCCCCGCCAATACCTCCCCCACAACTCACCCAGCACCTCCTGGGCTCTGGCCCTTCAATCCCTGCTCCCCATAGACTTACCAGCATCCAGCTGCTGAGGCTGCTCTCACCACCCTGCCCGGCTGCATGCCAGCCACGTGTGCACACACACATGCACATGGTGCCCCGTTGTCTCCAATCGCCCACCCCTTGTTCCCAACAGTGGAGCAAAGCAAAATCCTAGTCACTTGTTCAGATTTAAAAAAAAATGCCTGGATGGAGATCAGAGGACCCAAAAAGAGGGCATGTCTGGGAAAACTGGACCTATGGTAACCCTACTTAATATACAAACTCCAGAACACTAAATGTTATTAATTTTTTTCTTTGAGACTCCTAATTTAAATAGTTTCATCCAAGATGGCTCAAGAAAAAACTTCAAGTTAAAAATTTTACTTCATGGCCAGACCTATTTTATTCCTATTTTAGTATAATATACACACGAAAATAAAAAGAAAATACAGTATAATCAGATGCAATGAAAAATGTCTCAATGCTGCAATTGACTACATTGAGCTCTCTGATTTCAGCTTACCTGCTCATCACCCTCCAGATCAGAACCATAGAGTACAAAATCCTCAAAATATTAATATTGTCCGTAAAATGACTGAGACATTATTACCTGCTCTTTCTAGTTGTAGATATTCGTTCAAGTGCTCTGCAATGTGGCTAAAAAGCTCCTCCATGCCTTTTCCTACAAAGAGACATCCTTGCCATTCACATGGTAAGAGGAGTTTGGAGTTCTTCAGCTCGTTTCCAGGGGCCATTGCTTAAAATCTACAGAAGTGCAGTTATGCGTCTTATATTTCCATGTCTATATCTTATAAAAGCAGCTGTTGTGTAAGTTAGTTCCCAAACAATAAGTACTTGAACATTTTAAGTGGGTTGGGGGAGGGCAATACGTTTCCAAATTGAAAATGTCACCTTGTGAATGCATAAGCCTTGGGTTTTACAGATGCTGTAGTTTTAATTGCACTGGCATAATTAGAGCAGTATAACCACCTCTACTTCTAAATCAAAGGTGCTCAACCTCCGGCCCATGGGCCAAATCCGGCCCACTAAATGATTATCTGCACCATGGGTTGGACAACTTGGCAGCGGGGAGCGTTAGGAGACTTGCAGAGTCAGCACCAGCCTTACCCAGGGCAGTGCAATGAAAGTGGAATCAGGGTGGGGCCCAAAACCCACATGTCCAGATCAGGCTGGGTTGCTCCCAACTCCCATGTGTCCAGACCCCACAACGTGTCAGGATCAAGCCTACTCCTCCACTCTCCACCCACGTCTGACAGGGGGTCGCTCTACCTTGCCACTGTCTTGTCTGACAGACGGATTGAAGTCAGATCAGGCCTATCCCCTGCAGAGACTTGGCACCACCCAGCCAGCCCAGGAGGTAAAATGGTTGGCCACCCCGGTCCACGACACACTTTTATCAACATATAAAGCTTGCTGCGCTGCCCAGGTGGGACTAACCCAGCGCTTCTCAACCTCTTCAGACTTGGGGCCCCTCCTTAAACTGGGTGCCCCTCAGCAAGTGCCAGCTCTTCCTTTTCAC